TGAGAATTATCCACTCTTCTCATCTTAAAAACTATTTTCCTGTGCAGGATTGATCTTTATTTTCATTTTCCTACAGAAACACTGCCAGACCCATCCGTTGCTCTGGAAAGAGGTGGGTCTTGCATCATGCAAGAAGCAAGATTCAGGTTTGTCTTGTTTTTTGATGGGAACTGAGCCCCCCCATTTTTCCTGAGAATGTGTTGTCTCCAGTCCCAAGAGGTTTGTACCTGTGGACTGGTGGGCACCACTTCCCAGTCAATCACAGTGATCATTTCCAAATGAACCATGAATTGAACAAAAAGCAAGTGGAGACTGTAGAGAATGGGTGTGACGTGTTTCTGTGCATCTTCTAATGTAGCAACTGAGCTCTTCTGAGGCTATGCCTGCACTATAACTTATGTTGGCATAATCCTCCAAGTGACATAAGTTATACTAACGTAAGTGCCAGGGTGGACAGTACCAGAAACTTCTTCAGCATAGCTTCTGCCACTCATTCCAGTTTCATTCAGACACTGAAATTGCTGGGGAGAGACAAGGCATTGGACTTGCTCAATGAGAAGATGTAGAAAAAAGTGTCGTCATCAGTATAGTAGCCAGTAACATCTCTCCCTAGTTTAACAGCCCTGTTGCATACATTCCATAGCCACGAGACAGTGTTCAGCTATGCAATGTGCACCCAGTCTGAATCCTGACAGGAAATTGTCCAAAGTGTTGATGGAGACAAAACAGGCATTGGTGGAACTTCTGAAGGGGTGGACAGGTGGTTGGAGATGTTTTCTCAAGGAAACATATTTCCTTGAGTGATGATATGAACATTCCATTTTTGAAGGAGAAGAGAGACAACCTTTACTTCATTCACTCTCTCTGTCTTTTCAAATCTCATAGACCCTTTCTCCCTCCCTCACTTCTCTCCATGTCTCCCTCCCTCTGTAATGTAATGTTTTCACTTTATGCAAAATGGCATGATTAAATTAGCTGTACTGGACTGGACTGAGCGTTAGCTGACTTTAGATGTGAATCTGGTTATACTGAGGATTTGAGAATCAAGGAGTTAACACTCTGAGCTGTATAAGGGCCTCTTTGTTCTCATTGCTTAAATGCAGAACATGCAGTTTCCTTTTCTATTGGGAAAACTAACCACAATGCGCATGAAATTATGGTCTGGGTGAGACGTTATTGCACATGTCCTGGAACAACAAATTGTGGTGGTGACGTTTTCCTGTTTGTATAAAGAAGATATGTGGGAAAGAGGAAAAAAATGTATTTTAGTAGAAATTAAGATGAGGTGGAATAATGTGATGGTAAGTGTCCACTGTGAGTATGGATTAATGCATAGGTCCACAAGGCCCAGGTCCAGGAGCCCTGGACAATTTGGGAGCCCCATAGGAGCACTGGAATGTGGGTCGAAGTGTGGGGCCAACCGCACTAGAACTGTGGCCCTTCCCCTCCCACCCCTCCTCCCACCCCGAGGCCCTGTCCTCTAGCCAGGACAGAAGCTAGAGCTAGGCAGTGGTAAAAGCTGCCCAGGCAGCCCACTGTGGTGAGCCTGGGTGGAGGCTGGGATGCCTGACAGCACCACCAGTCTATGTCCCCACTCCCAGGACACACAGTGCTGCCTGAGTAACCTAGATGTGGGGCTCTGGTCCAGCCACTTGTCCCCTCCCTGGGTCCTGCAGATACACTGCAGAGAGAGGAGGTCCTGCCCTAGCCTCATTCTCAGCAGAGAGCTCCAAGAAGGTCACAGGCAATTAGGACCTGGCTAGAGAGGTCACTGCTACTAGCTTGGCCTCAGCAGCTGCTGCTCCACCTGGGCTTGCTCAGTGCCTGCCCCTGGCTTCCACTGCCAGGCTGTCCCTGCCAGGTCCTGCTGCATCTGGGCTACCATGCCAGGTCCCTGTGGCTGCCTGGGCTTTGTGCCCAAGGCAGCAACCATGTACAGCACTGTGCCTCAATGACGAACGAACAGGTTAAGGACTATTTAGAAAAGCTGGATGAGCACAAGTCGATGGGGCTTGATCGAATGCATCTGAGGGTGCTGAGAGAGTTGGCTGATGTGATTACAGAGCCATTGGCCATTGTCTTTGAAAACTCATTGGTGATTGGAAGAAGGCAAATATCATGCCCATCTTTTAAAAAGGGAAGGAGAAGAATCTGAGGAACTACGGAAAATCATGGTGCATGTCCTCAAGGAATCCATTTAGGAACACTCAGAGGAGAGGAAGGTGATCAGAAACAGTTAGCATGGATTCACAGTGGGCTAGTCATGCCTGGCCAACCTGATTGCCTTCTATGATGAAATGACTGGCTTGTGGATATGGGGGAAGCAATGAACATGATATACCTTGACTTTAGCAAAGCTTTTGATACAGTCTTTCACAGAATTTTTGCCAGCAAGTTAAAGAATTATGGTATGGATAAATGGCGTATAAGGTGGGCAGAAAGTTGGCTAAATCACTAGGCCCAATGGATAGCAATCAACTGCTTGATGCCTATTTGGTAGCAGGTATCAATTGGAGTGCTTCAGGGGCCAGTTTTGGTCAACATCTTTGTTAATGATCAGGATGATGGGTTGGTTTGCAGCCTCAGCAAATCTGTGAATGACATCAACCTGAAGGGAGAGGTAGATATACTGTAAGGTAGGGATAAGATACACTGTGACTTAGAGGAATTGGAAGATTGACCAAAAGAAATCTGATAAGGTTCAACAAAGGTAAATGCAGAGCTCTGTACTTGGGATGGAAGAATCCCATGCACTCTTCAGGGTGGGGACAGATGGGCGAAGCAGTAGTTCCGCAGAAAAAGACCTGAGGATGACATTAGAAAAGAAGCTGGATATCAGTTATTTGTGCTTTTTCCTGAAGACAGAAGAACCTCACCTATGTTCTGTGGGATGTGGAATAATTTTTTTCTAGATTAATGATTAACCTTTTCTTGCAGTTAAAAATATTGTTCTACTGAACAGTTAAGGCTGTGTCGGAGAATAGCCTTGCCTCTGTTTATAAGATGGGGTGTTACTGACTTGACAGCATCTGTAAATATGCCATAAAGCTGTGTCCTCAGACTCTCTTAAATGAAATTGGGATAGAGATGAATCAAAGCAGTGTCTGGAAACACAGGAGTTAGGCGAAGTGTCTGAGACGTTTGTCCAATGTACATAGCAGACGGACACTTTCGGCACATGACAGCACAAATTATATTTCTGGATGCACAGGAATATGTGTTCTTGATCTTATAACTCACTTGGAGTGTGTCTAGACTACAGGGTTTTGTCGACAAAAGTGGACTTTTGTTGACAAAACTAAACCTGCGTCTACACTACCGCTGAGTTCTGTCGACATAACGTCGACAGAACTCAGCAGTTTTGTCGACGCTGGTAAACCTCATTTTACGAGGAATAATGCCTTTTGTCGACAGAGTTCTGTTGACAGAAGGCGTTATTGCATCTAAACTGTCCTTTGCATCTACACTGCCATGTCGACAAAGCAGCTTGCTTTGTCGACAGAACTGAATGTAGTCTAGACGCTTTGTCGACAGAAGCTTTGTCGACAGTATCTGTCGACAAAGCTTCTGTCGACAAAAGCCTGTAGTCTAGACGTACCTTTGGTTAGGTACAATAATGGTATCAGCAGAGTGAATTTGTGGACAAGGCTGGCAACAGGGTTTGTTGCAAGGGAAGGAACCAGGTTTGGTATTAGTGTGGTATGTCCTATGGTTGTTGGTAAGAATCATCTTGAGGTTAGGTGGTTGTCTATAGTCTCAGACACTACATCTCAGACACTTCGCCAAAGGATCAATGCCCACAAAACAGATATTAGAGAGGATCACAAAGAAAAAACAGTTTCTTGCCATTTCAACCAGAAAGGACATTGTCTCAACGACTTGATTACCTGCATCCTGCTTCAAAGTCCTTTTAAGACTACACTTGAAAGAGAATCCTCTGAAATGTCATTCATGCTTAAATTTGACACTTTACACCTGTTTGAATAAAGACTCTAATTATCTTTCCCATTGCAAAGATAGCTTCCCCAATTATCACCTCTAACATCATTAGCTCACAGACATTTACCTCCCCCCCACCCCCGTTCTGTTCTGAAATTTGATTTGTTCTTTTCATATGTGTTCATTTTTTTTAATTGTATCCTTTGGTATATATGGTTGTGACAATTTTCTTCCACTATTTGATCTGAGGAAGTGGGTCTGGCCCACTAAAGCTCATCACCTAATAAACCATCCTGTTAGTCTTTAAAGTGCACCATAGTCCTGTTTTTTGATTCTGAGGAGTGACACAGAAAGAAGTGTTGAAGCCTGGATTGATTCTATATTGGTCCTACCTGGGGCAGGGGGCTGTACTTGATGACCTTCTAAGGTCTCTTCCAGCTCTATGGTTCTATGATTCTATGATTCTTTATTGGTTCAGACATCCTGAGAGCAAACAGGCCACTGGGAATGGAGTAGTAGCTTTATGGATTTTTGTGTGGAGTTTGTTCCATGGACAAGGGGAAGCATGAGATAAAGCACAGAATTTTTGGAGTTGGAAGTAGATTAATAGATGGGAAAGGCTGACATTGTTGGTGTCACAAAGATTTATACATGGTAAGAGTATGGATTTACTGAACAGAATGAGGTTAAATTGCAATTAGAAATAATGTCCCAAGAAGATTATACCTGATGGAAGAGAGAGGAGTGACATGGTTGAAGCAAGAAGCATCAGAATGATATCAGAGTGTGAAGGTTGCAGCAGTCTAGTCCAAGAAGGAGACGATGACAGGAATTAAGACACAAGACGACAAGGGCCTGGGTGAGAACGTTTGCAAAATGGACAGAAAAAGCAAGATCTTGGAGGTGTTGTGAGAGAAAAAATGAAAAGATGTGGATATATAATTTTAAAATATATTCAGTGTATGAGCATCAAGACCTTCACATCTTTAGAAATATGATGTGTCTAGAACAGATAAAGCAGACAGAATTTAATACAAAGGATAAAATAGTTTATTGCCAAGACACTGGGAAGTCAATCCAGCATATAAATACACATCAATATGTTGCATTTTATCTTGAAAAGAAATGGAAGATTATAGCTCTGCTTTGGTTATTGGACATACAATTGATATGAACAATACTGAAAATTAAAACATTTAGGCTTGGTCTAAACTACAGCAGAAGGTCAAAATAAGATACACCGGTTATATTAATTACACAGCTGGAGTTGACATATATTAAATGATGTTTCTGCACTGTGCACATAGTGGGAGGCTGACGGGAGCAAACACTCTTTTGGCTTCCCTTACTCCTCACGAAAGGAGGAGTAGTAGGCACTGGCAGGAACTGCCCTCAGCATATGACGTACAGGCACATAGTTGATTCACTAAATCAAACGCCAGATGATCAACTCTGGACTGTCGATCTACTGTGTAGTGTAGATGTGCCCTTAGACATGTATGAAAAATCAGCCCTATTGTTATCCAATATTTTTGTGCTTCAGTATCACAGTGGTGAGTGATTTTATAGAAAACTAGCTAGCTAGACTTTCTTTTCTTACATTGCATATGGTGATGTTTAATCTTAACAGTTAAACCAGCTGTTGCTCTTCATCACACGAATAACTCTCTTAGATTTAGGGTCAAACTCCCATTGCTTTGATCCATGGAAAAAGTAGAAAAATCCTAGAAATAAAAGGAAATGGAATAATTATACTGTAGAAGTTATTTATAGCTCTGTTTTAACAAATAATGCTGGAGACAATAGCAAAATAACATCTTCCATCTGTGTAGAAAATCTCTTGTTAATTTATGCTCTTAGTAAGGTAATAATAATGACACTAATAATATTTGTATTCCTTCTGAAATTTACAACAATGCAAATCTTCTGCTTTTTTGCACATTCACGCCACTTACCATTGTGCTGGAAAACAGCATCAACTCTCTCACCAATTCCTGGAAAATCGTCTGTTATCTGTCTTGGATAGCCCTTTTCCATGGATTGACTGCTTTCCTCATACCTGAAGGATATAACTGGGTTGAATGGATCTGCAAGAACATAAGTCCTAATCCTGCAAAGACTTAAGCACATTGTTAACTTTACACATTGTGAGTAGTCTGATTGTCTTCATTAGGGCTACTCACATTGCACAAAGTTAAGCACATGCAATGACTCAAGACTAGATGACCACAGTGGACCCTTCTGATCTTAGAACCTCTGAAGCAATATCCTTTTCCAAGTGTGTGACCTTGTGTTTAATGTGGAATTAAACTCTTTGATGGGGGCAGAGCTCCACTGAAGTGTCTGGGTAAAAGCTGAAGAGAAGCAAATTCAGATTAGAAAAATGAACAAGTTTTTAACAGTGCAGGTGATTAGCCATTCGAACAAATTGCAAAGGAAGTGGCAGTTTGTTCCCATAGTTCCATCTCTTCAAAGCAAGACTGGATGATTTTCTAGAAGAGGCACTTTAGTTAATAACAGGTTACTGTTCTCAGTGCAGGAGTAAATGGGTGAAATGTAATGACCTGTGTTACACAGGAGGTAAAACTAGATGACATAACAATCAGTTCTGGATCTGTATTACCATATGGAGGCATTAAGTTTGGCACTGAAGCTTTGTCCTTTGCTGGTAACTTGGCAGCACACTCAGCTTTAAAATTTAGAGGAGAGATTGGGGGAGTGCTTATCACTCTTTGATAACTGTCTAGTCACATTAAGGCAAGTTCTGATGGTCCCAGTCCTTGGCCTGAAGGACAGCTAATATAATATTGGGTTGACTTTAGCAGGGAAAGGAGGAACTAAATGGTTCTTTAACAGTTCAGAAAGAACTAGGACAACTCCCTGATGAAACAAAAAGAAAATAATAGATTTTAATTATCATTGGATATGAGACATTTTCTGAAGGAAGCCTGGAGTTCTGAAATAATTACTGTGGTAATACTTTTCAAAGCTCTATTTCATAGCTTTTATGCATGCAGCTAATGTGCCTTTGCCTTGTCAGCAGGTCAGTAGAATAACAGCATATATTATTGCAAAGGTGCTTTCCAAAAATCTTTAATTCAAAGAATAGAAAACCACAGACAGCTATAAATTCAGTTAACATTGTGTGGCTGACATGAATATTCAGACTAAGGAAATATATAATGATGATAAAGTGTCTTTGACTCCTTATTGCAGGAATCTCTAAGCAGTGACCAATTTTGCATAAAGGTTTCAGAGGGGTAGCTAAGTTAGTCTGTAACTAGAAAAACTTAAAAAACAACAAATAGACTAGCAGCACCTTAAAGACTAACAAAACATGTAGATGGTATCATGAGCTTTCATGGTAAAGGACCACTTACATGACTCATTTATTATCTGTCTTATGTTTGTTTCTTATACCTCTGTATTTGGGTGCTAAAAGGCACTCCTGTGGGTTAGGTGGGCATGGTTTGGCTTAGAGGTTTTGCAAATCCCAGACAAAGCAGTTAAAAAAAGGAGGGTTGAGAACCGTTAGTTTCTTTGTAGCCCATTGGTTCCAGGTGAATATCTATTGGGCATGGCTCACCAACCAATGCTACCATGACTACATAGCTATTTATATACTGAGATTTAACCACAAGTATGTGTACAGAGGAATTGTAGCCCCAGCTCATAATACAGACATAGCCTTACTGTGAGTCTATTTACTCTTTTCTGAACAAAAATGAGTGTAGGTAAAGTCCTGTTAGATCATCCAATTCATCTCCCTCTCAATGGAGAATTGCTTTGTATAATATATTTTCTAGGCCTTTGTCTACTTTATTTGTAAAAATTTGAAGGGTTGAGCCTTTTATTATTTCTCGAGAATACTCTTGTTTTGTTCAGTGAACCAAAAGAAATCTATGTGAAGGGTATTGAATTAACAGTCCTGCTAAATAGTTGTTTGAAGCAAAGTTATATTCGTTTCTCAATTTAGGAGTCATTTAACCAAATATACTTTTCTTGAACATTTCTTAATAAAGTTCCCTAGATATATTACTAGGAAAGGGCAAATCTTCTCTTTTAATGCATACATATAGATTGAACAGAAGTCAATAAGAAAACAAAATTTTTAGCCATTGATCTTACCTCCAATATTTGTCACCTACAAAAAAGTCTGTTTTTCCTGTATTTTTATTAGAAACAGCTGCATCAATTTTCTTAACACTCCTTGGGAAACCCAATGTGTTGATGTTCTTAGGATAACCAGGAAGCACCTGATACCCATTGATAACCCAGAAATGATTCCCTGTTAACAACAACAACAACAACATTTATAATGTTTCACCAGTGGTTTCTCACAAGCTAAATAAACACAAATGTATTTGCTTAATGGAAGCAACACATGGGCTTGCACAGTAGCAGAATTCAGGAAATCCTATGTAAGGAAAATTAGGTGAAATTTCCTGGAATTGCTCATTCGGTATAGGCCAGGTCTACAAAAGAACATACATAGGTAAAGATATGTCTCTCAGTGATGTGAAAAATTCACAACTCTGAGAGATATAGCTATACTGACCTAATCCCCATGGCTAAATCTATACTGAGCTGTCTTGCACGAGAAAATATGAAATGAGGCGAAGCGATGAATATCGCCATGCCTCATTTGCATGCTTAATGAGCTGCCATTTTTGCACAAGGGGCTTTTGCGCAAACAGGAGCTGTCTACATGGCTCCTTTTTGAGCAAAACCCCCCTCTTGCTCAAGAGCTGTTCTGCTGCTTTTTTCAGGCAGAACAGCTCTTGCTCAAGAGGAATTTTGTGCAAAATGGTGGCTCATTCAGTATGCAAATGAGGCACGGCGATATTCTCCACTTCGCCTCATTTGTATATTTTCTTGCACAAGAGAGCGCAGTATAGACATAGCCCATGGCTGTGTCTAGACTGGCAAGTTTTTCTGCAAAAGCAGGTGCTTTTGCGGAAAAACTTGCCAGCTGTCTACACTGGCGCTTGAATTTCTGCAAGAACAGTGATGATCTCATGTAAGAGTGTCCGTGTTCTTGCGGAAATACTATGCTGCTCCCGTTCAGGCAAAAGCCCTCTTTCACAAATGCTTTTGCGCAAAAGGGCCAGTGTAGACAACGTGGTATTGTTTTGCGCAAAAAAGCCCCGATCGCGAAAATGGTGATCGGGGCTTTCTTGCACAAAACCACATCTAGATTGGCACGGATGCTTTTCCGCAAAAAGTGCTTTTGCGGAAAAGCGTTCGTGCCAATCTAGACGCTCTTTTCCGCAAATGCTTTTAACGGAACAACTTTTCTGTTAAAAGCATTTGCGGAAAATCATGCCAGTCTAGATGTAGCCCATGTGTATAGTCCTAGGTCAACAGAAGAATTCTTCCATCAACGTACTTACTGTCTCTTTCCCACTGGTGTAAGTATGCACATTTAATCATTGCACAGCCATTGTTTTTCTCCCACATCCTCCCAAAAATTACAGGTAAGAGGAATTTAGAGAAAAAAACATACATACTTTACCTCTGAAAAACAGAACCTGATCTTTAATATTTTCATAAGCAGCTTGAATACCAGATGGCAGAAAAGGCCAGAATGTAGAAATTAATTCAAGTTCAACTTCAGAATTACCAGGATAGACTCGCCATAAGTGCCTGATTTAAATATGATACAATTTTCATCGTAAATAATAAACCCCCATACATTTTTGTATATTCATAAGACTGTAAAGAGCGATGGGCTTTATAATCTCTTTCTTGTCAACAGAATCTAGCAGGATACCCTGTGCATTCTATTACGCAGTCAATCATTTTACCATGCCAGAAAATAAAATATTGACCACAGCGGGAAAGAAAATTCCGTTACTTGCTACAGTCGAATATCCATATATATGTACTTTTAGATATACTTTTTTGTTGGATGACTAGCCAACCCCTGATGTTGACTGACTAAGGATATAAGTTAGAACTAGAAGAGGGATTTAGGTAGCTCTGGTGCCACATTCTAATGCACAAAAGGATCTGCTGAAGAATCCAGGGCACACAAAATAATGAATCTGATTCTGATCTGCTAGTCCATGAGTCCCCATTGACTATGGACTTGAACAGCCAGGTATAAGTGAGAATTGAATTTGGCCCTGAGAGGTATTGAAGAATGCAACCATTCTTTTGCAAATAATGGTAGCATTTACTCATCTTACAACACGTTTTTTCCATTTGCTAAATTTGGAATGAGTAACAGACCTTTGCTGGGCCTTAGATATTTTCTGGGAGAGACAAGGCCATTCTTGATTTGGCACTGGTAAGGCCATATCTGGACAACTGCATTCAGTTTTGCCCTCCCCCATTACAGAAAGGATGTGAATAAATGGAAGAGAGTATGTCAGAGGGCAACAAAAATGTTTGGAGCTGGCGCACATGACTTATGAGGAGAGGCTGAGGGAACTGAGCTTATTTAATCTACAAAAAAGAAGAATGAGGGGGGACTTGACTGTAGCCTTGAACTCTCTGAAGAGGGGGTTCCAAGGAGGATGGAGAGAAGCTGTTCTTAGTGGTGGCAGATGACAAAGTAAGGGGCAATGGTTTAAAGTTGCAGTGGGGGAGGTCTAGGTTGGATATTAAGAAAAATTATTTCACTAGGAGCGGGGTAAAACACTGGAATGGGTTACCTAGGGAGGTGGTGGAATCTCCATCCCTAGAGATTTTTAAGTCTCAGCTTGACAAAGACCTGGCTGGGATGATTTAGTTAAGGTTGATCCTGCTGTGAGCAGGGGGTAGGACTATATGACCTCCTGAGGTCTCTTCCAATCCTAATCTTCTATGATTCTTGCCAGAGAATCCTCTTCACCTCTAGTTTAAATGTGGCTGAGTCTGTAAATAGCTTCTCTGTTAACAATGAAACATCTCTTATTCCTGTGGGTTATTAATTCTGAAATGTATCTATCTTTCTTTCAATCTGTTTATGGTGCTCATCACTTATAGTATAGTGTTGCATTTAGTCATTAAGAAATAATATAAAAGAAACTTCCAAACAAAGGTGAATGTCATTTGAAGAAGAACTGAGTTTACCTGTCTTTAAAAAACATGACTTCTCTGCGAAGGGTAGAGATAGCATCAAAAGACACCATGGGATCACAGGTTTTAGGTGATGTAGGTTTGGATGGCTCCTCCGGGGGCTTAGATGAGGGTCCTAAGGAAAGCAGTTTAAAAAGAATATAACACAGAGAGATTATTTAAATTGGTATATAAACTAAAGTGGATTTAAATTATATATAATTATTTAAAAATTATTTCTCTTTGTCTGAGAGACTGTTTCTGATTTTTTAAGGTGATAGATTCTACTCACCATAAATGGCCTGTATGCCATTGATATCATCTGGGGAGAGTGGGAATTCAGAGGGGTTGACGTAGGCATAATTTGGGAACATTAAGGCTCTAGTGTCAGTGGAATGGGAGAGACCCAGCGCGTGACCAAACTCATGAGCAGCAACAAGAAACAAGTTGAACCCTAAAAAAAAAAAAGGATAGATGCAAGGCAGCTTAGATGTGTTTGTGTCTACAGGCCTGCAATTGGGAATTCCATCTTACTGCTCAACTCACAAGTGCCACAGAGGATTCTGCCACTATCCAAACATTTACCTCAAGCCACTGGTACCAGGATATAGTATGAGACATGTAATATGAACAAGGAGGTCAGGGCCTAATTTCAGCCAGAGCTATCTGGAGTAAAGCTCTTAGAAATATTTTCAAACCCATAGGATGTGCACTGGCATGCCCAATAGGACTGAAGCCCTGAGGCCCAGCATACCCAATAGGGCTAAAGCCCTGAGATTCCCCCATGCTACTGCTGAAACCCAATACACTGAATTGAAAAGGTTTGAAAAACTCCAGGAAATCATACATGAGAATTTAAGCCCTTAAGGCAAAATTCTTCCAGAGTGAAGAAGGGAGTGGTTCTTTGGCTCTTTCCTGTTGTTGAAACAAGGCGAATTGAGTGAGTAGTTTGCTGGAGGGGAGAGTGGGAGAAGCTTTGATTAATTTCCAGCAAAGAGTTTCCAATTTACCTACCCCTGATTATATGGTGAGTCAGACCAATCAATAGCAGAAGGGCTAGAACAAGAGGAATGCTCATATGCATGTGTGAGGCACTAAACTGTTCTTGTGGGACTTTTTTCTCTGTACTCATGGTACTCTCAGCTTGATCAGGAAATACTCACAAAATATATAGCAGTAGCTTGGTGTCTTCTCTTTTAGAAACAGATTTTTTTCTAGGTTGATGGTTTATTTAACATATCCCTTAATAAAACATATCTGACTAAGGACTCGGGTTCCACTCTGATTTAATCTGTCAGCTCAACAGGAGAAATTAGATTTTCTCAAGAAGCTATCGGGATACTTACTATTATCAACATATTATCTAAGTGCCTCACAGCCATGAATAGATTTAGCTTCACAAACCTCATGTGAGGTAAGGAAGAATTATTCCCTCTCCTCTACAGACGAAAACCTGAGGTCCAGAAATGCCAAGTGACTTGCCCAAGATCATAAGTCCATGGCTGAGCAGCAAATTGAATCTAGATCACCTGAGCACGGCTGGCTGGAAAGCAATAATTGGAGAATTTTCATGGGGAGGGGGGAGAAAGGAGAAAATGGGCCACCCTTGAATATTAGAGTGGTTGAGGCGCTCACCTAGATATGAGAGACCTGGATTCATTTCCCTGCTCTGCCTGATGGGGAAAATAAGAAAAGAACTAGGAAATTGTGCTGGAATCAGAGAATTAATGTGAGGTCCCCCAGAGGATTCGAGGAGTTTGACTTCTGTCACAGGTTCCCATGGCTCTCCAGTGAATTCCAAAAGGCCTGATTGATCTGTGCGGGCAACTGTGTGATAGGTACGGCGAAAAGGTACTATAGCTCTAGTGTGGACATGAGACAAAACGGCAAAGGCCCTGTTGGGATGGCATTAGCAAAAACATGCTGTGATGCTGATGCTGATGCTTAAGACAGTGCTATCTCATTTGGTTCAATTACCACTGGTTCATTCCTCTAGTGAGGACAAGGCCAAATTCGTATATCTGCTGTCAGTACCTATGAACACCTCAAACAAATAAGGTTGTTTTGGATCTTCTGCTATCTGCTATATTACAATGTTTTTTCAAAGAGGAATATGAAATACATTTGAAAATGGCCTTTAATAGCATAATTATTTTTAAAATTAACATTGTCTATGATACAGTCCTTCATTATAGAACATATTCCTTCCCCTAAACAGCATCAAGAACCTACTTATATATAATTATTAACACATAGTACAAGAGATCTACTTGTCCTACCAGCAGAGCCGTCTGTCCATTGTTCATCTTCATCAAAGTGGACATCCCCCCCAATACCATTGCCAGGTGGAAAGGCGTGGCCAAGAACACCCAGGGGTCCATCAAAATAACGAGGACAGCGACCATGAGCTAAACAGAAATGTGTTGAAAAAAAATAGAGGTCCGTGTCACTGTTGTAGGTAACAATATGTGTTAATCTGACCATTTGCATAGTTATTACTGTACCTCTAGACCCGAAAGCAATCATTATATCCGCGATCCCTTTATGAATCCTAGTGAAAGTCAGTGGGGACACAGTGCTCCATACTTTAAACGCTTTTTGGATTGCTTTATCCACATCAGCTCGTGTCATATCTGGAGTGTAGTTCACAATTCTGTGGGAGTTAAGAAACAAATGAATGTGCTGTAGTAATGTGGATGGCTGGTGAAAGTAGGGCTGGGGAATGCAAGCCCTCAACCCTGGCCCAGCCCCACCCTTTCTGCTTTGGCTATGTCCCCACACCCATCATGGGGAGGGTGGGCGCTGTGTGGCCCAAGCCTGTCTGGCCCAGAGCACGGGAGGGTGGGTGGCACATGGCCCAAGCCTCCTCGACCACAGAGTACAGGGAGAGTGGAGAGCGTGTGGCCTCCAGCTTCCTGGGCCCTGGAGCATGGGGAGGGCGGGAGCTTGGGGGCAGCAATACTAAAGTGGTATTACAGTAGGCGTTCTGGGAGTGGAGTGTGGGCTAGGCCAGGCTGGCAGTTTAGGAAGGCAGTGTCTTCCCCTGCATAGTATACTGGTTGCCCATGTATAGTAATAATAATAATACACATGGTTTATTTGGAGTGTTTATCCATTAATGAGAATATGAAGAATTAGAAGACAAAAAACCCCACACCTGTCCAACAGTCTTGAGCATTCAATACTCACTTTGGATTCTGTGTGTCAGGATCTGATACCTTGTCTTTTCCATCTCCAATATTTATAATACTAGAGTTCTATCATGTGTTATATCTCTTAAAGAGCATTAGTACCCTGACAAAATGGCTGTAGTACAACAGAACTCCTTGGGTGTTTTGAAAGTAATAGCTGCTGACTTTGATGACAATTTTAAGTGTCACTGATGATATTACTTGAAGACAGTAGGCGTGTAATGGGTGTGAGGCTCAAATTTGTCCTACAGAATCTTTACTAGGAATTATGTGCACGAGGTAAAGCAGTCAGCTAGAATGTCAGTGTTCAGGGTGTATGCACATGACTAGCATTTGAGAGGGAGCTACTTTTGTTTTTGTTAACTGTGCACACTTGCTATGGATTTTTTTTTGGAAAAAAATAAGGCTACCCACAAGATAACTTTAGATCTACTTTACAGAGGAGATCCTCATTTTAAACACAAGAAAAAAATTACATAGATATTACCTATATGTCAGTTTGGTTTTTTTCCATCCTGGGAGAATGACACCATACTGTCCAACATCAGGAACTCCACATCTGGGTTTCTGCATCACTTCTAAAGTCTCAGGATCTGGCTTCCCAGTCACTTCCAACCCAAAAAATTCTTGCATTTTTTTAATTTTTTCTATCACAGAGCTACTGCTCCTCCTCCATGCTAGGTGCTCTGGATCTGGTTGAAGCTCATAAAATTTCTGTAGATACTCCTGACAATAAATACATTAATGAATGGTACAATCTTTTTATTAGATCTAAAAAAATTACATTAGGATCACTATTGTTAGTACACGGTGCTTTCTGTGCCTCTGATTTCCATGTGCTCCAGCAGCTGGTTTTTTTTAGGAATCTGGCTAAATAGAAACAGACAATGCATTTCATTTTGTTTTAATCACTTGACAAATCCCACTCATGCTGATTTTATCTGTTTTATCAAAGTGTGATTGAAAGAGCCATGCATGGTTGTGCAGAGAATCCTCAGTATCTAGTTCAAACGTGCAGATTCTTTGAAATCTAAAAGGAAAGGGCTCAGCACATCTATAGAAAATGAAGTTACCTGTACAAGCTGCGTATTTTCTCCTTCATTGTCTTTTTCTGGAAGCACAGGAAAAGCATAAGAAAATGTCACATATAGTAATAGCAAAAACGGAAGGGTCTTCATTCTTATCCTTCTTTCTGCCTTATTGTAACAAGAGGCAGGCTCTGTTTTTGGTATACACGTCTTTCAGGCTTCCCCGTTTATATGGCTATCTGGGTGTTTCACAAAGTCAGCAGCAGAATGACTCACAATTTAACATACTTTAATTAGCAATGGACATGATATAACACAATATGGGGTGACATAATACTAGAGAATTAGTACCATCTGTGCAACCACCACAGTAAATACTGGAGATGATTAATAAACTATTTCCCAAAGTTAATTTGTCAAAATAGAATCATTTTGCTGGAACATACCAGTTTTTATCTGAATTGCAGAGAAAGAACCCCTCCCCCCCAACTCTCCTTGAGTAATCATGTGGTTAAGTCATTTACTTTGCTTACAGAAAATCCAGGTTTAAATCTCTGATTTGGCTGACTCAAACCAGGATCTTTAATCTGGGTGTCTCAGTTTTCAGCTGAGTACTTTAACCCTTGGGCTATTGCAGGGGTCGGCAAGCTTTTCAAACCAAAGAGCCAAACTACATCAAAATTCAAAACTAGTGGTTAACAAAGAGTCGTATAAGAATATCCATTGCACGGCTGAAAATATACAACTTAATATTATTGCCAATTGGCATAATGATTAATAATAGCATAAATGAAACTTTGTACTCACACACTTTATTTGATGGGACTTCTGCTGCTGCAACTTTTCGCACATTTCTTTGAAGTTTACATCGTAACTGGTCAAATCCAGCTTCATGCACACATTCTGAATGTCTTCTGTCAATCTTATGGCAGGGAGCTGGGGATGTGGGAGTACAGGAGCCTGGGTAGCAGTGTATGAGGGGCTCAGGGCAGGGGGTTTGGGTGTATGATGGACTCAGGGCACAAATCTGAGGTGTGTGGAGGTACGTCAGTTTATGGTAGGAGTCTGGAGATGTCGGGGTGATGGTGTTTGGGGATCCCCAGTTTGGAAGCCAGCCATGAGCAGAACCTATCCTTGAGGCATCTTGATGGGATTGGCCCTGAGACACTCCAACAGGCCTCCTCAGCCTCGCACTCATTGCCTGGCTGCAGCAGCACAGGAGCGGGAGCAGCATCCCATTCTCTTTGCCTCTTGAGCTTGGCTAGTACCTATGTCAGGGACGAGTATCTCTCTAGCAGGATCTGCAGGCAGTGCTGGAAAAGGGTGTGTGCTGCTCCTTTAGGAAATCCAGCCGCTCCTAATCCCCAAAACCTGGATCTTCTGCTGCCATCTTAGCCACCCTCTCCACCCAGCTCCTACGTGCTCACCATGCACCACCACCACATCTGGTGCAGCCAGGCGCAGTCACTCAGGTGATCACCAGGCAGGGGGGAGGCCTTGCAGCTCCCGTATCCTGCCTCCCCAATGCACAGGGGAAGGTAGGGTGGATAAGGAAGCATGTGCATTGCTGTGGGGAGGGGAGGAGCAGTGCACATACGTGCATTTCCCTGCAAGCTGGATCCAATGAGGTTTTTCCCCTACCATCAAAGGGAGCCGGCACTGGCTCCAATCTTGTGGTGGAGGGGGCATGATGCTGTATTGCCAGCAAAGGCTCCCTGTTGCAGGTGGAGGCCAGCGAAGGGGTACTGAGCTCAAGCTGTGAGCTTTGTATAATTATTTACTGGATCTAGGATTTGAACATCCACACAGTTAAAGATCCCATTCAAGTTCTTCTCATTTTATGCTTTGATTACTGCAACATCCTGCTCTTGTGTCTGAACAGATGTTATTTTCTACTGCTTGAATAATGCAGACAGGCAGAACTAAACCTGGGACTTCTGGAGCTTAGTGCATGAGCCTCTACAGCTTGAGCTAAAAGCCAACAAGCTCTTAGCTAAGGCTGTAGAGCAAACGCCTCTCTGTCTGGATGTGGTCTAAGTGCCACCGTCCACCACCCCCATAAGACGGGTGGGTTCCACTATGGCAGGTTTCCTCAGGTGACAGCTGTAGGAAGCTAGTCTGAAGAGCTTCTGTTGGAACCAAGGCAAGACACGGACACGGCATCTGACCCCACCGCTTGTCCCACGAGGTTAAACTTTGCATCCAGCCCATGGAACGCTCCGGGAGTCAACTGAATTACCTCAACGAGCGCCGTACCCGGCCTGAACTCCGTTTCCTCCAGTGGAGTCCCTCCACAGCAAGTCCGAGTCACGTCCATCACTTGTGTACAGAGTACCTGGCCAGTATTCTGTCACAAGCAACTTCCAGGCTGGTAACTATAACAAATACACAGAACCTGAATGAATGGATGAATGAATGTTTATATGTATAAGGGTTAAGTGGCTTTTTGCCTTATCCCCCTCATAAAATCCTGCTTGCTTTTATTTGGTACAACACCTGCTGTGCTAGGTGCTGTACAAATGCACAACAAAAAGATACTCCTGGCCCCAAGAAGCTTACAATCTAAGTATAAGACCAGAGACAACAGTTTAATAAAACAGAAAGATGAGAGAGTGCAAGGAAACAATGAAAAAACATTGCTCAGCACCATAGACTGGGTCTCATCTGAGCAGTGTGTATGTCTGTCTGGTTATCTTTTTTAATCAAAATGGTTTTGCAGCTTATGTCATTATTTTTACCACATTAACTACAGGCCACTAATCTTTGGGTCATTAGAATAAGGGAAGCTTCAGGGACCACACACGCTGTAACAAATTAGATTCCTTGAACTGGGAAGGGGCTAACCTCCTCCCAGTCCCACTGGTGTCCCTGGGAGTTGAAGAGGTTCAGCACTTCCCAGGAGCTGCAGAGCCACGGACATTACAGTGCTCATCATTTGCAAAACGACTTGTGACAAATATCCTCTGTCTGACTGTGTCACTCTGAAGAAACACTTGTTTTCATGTTTGTTGCTTCCTTTTTAGCCAGCATCCGGAGAAATCGGCTGATGACGGCCACAATGGCAGGTTCATTGTATAACATTGTTTGCAGACCAGTTTATATTGTTACTCAGTCACAGTGTGAAAACCTGCTCTATTATTATTACTGGGTGTACAGACCCACATTCAGTTTGGGGGTCCGCTGCATAAGGTCAGTACCTTCCAACCTGAGAGTCTTGAAACTCTCAACAGTTGCTCTTGAAGATAGCTTTGTTCATAAGAAAAAGTCTTTCACTATTCACCGAGGATCTGTTTCTTCATCTGTGCTTTCTACTGACAAATTATAGGGTTTATCAGATTAATACATTTTAAGGCCAGAGGGGACCATTGTGGTCATCTAGTCCAACCTCCTGCAGAACACAGGCCATAGAGTTTCCCCCAGTGATTCCTGCACCAATCACATAACTTCTTATTCAGTTAGAGCAGTGGTTCTCATACTTTTTGGCTGTGGCCCACCTGAATCAATGCAAAACTTTCCATGGATCACCAGTCACCATTCATTACATAATTATGCCTGAGCCATTTTGCTAGTGCTGCAGGTAGGGAGAAAGGTTTAACTGAAATTATTAAACAAATTAAGCATTTTAACTTTCTTATGTTAGTTTATCAACCATCATTTTAAATAAAGTAAACTATTAATTTATGTGCAACACAAAAGGTTTCAATGTTTTCTTTATTTATGGCAGCGGTAAGGAGCCTTTTTGGGTTGTGGGCTGCAGACCCACAGAAAAATAAGTTGGGGACCACACAAGTCAGAAGCAAAAAACTCTTCCAAAACTCCCAACTGAGACACCTCACTCCTAGAATCATAGAATCATAGAGCTGGAAGAGATCTCAGGAGGTCATCAAATCCAGCCCCCTTCCCAAGGCAGGACCAATCCCAACTCTTCTGACATGCCAGACCCACGGGGTGAGGAGGAGGGACAGGGAGGCCTGAAGTTCAGGGCTTCCCATAAGCCAGATTTATTCTTCTGGGGTTTGTGGATTTTGTGGATCCCCCCTCCCCAGGATTTGTAATCAGATTTAAGTTAGATTTAATATTGTAACTGTTGTATTTGTTTGGCCCCCTTTGTATGGTTACTATCTAGAAATAAATAACTTTCATGGTTAAAAGGGTTGCTTTTTTTCTCTTTTCCTCTGTCTTTCTCTGCCCCTTGAGAGTTGGCTTCCGCATTCACTCTGCAGCAAAGCTCCTTGTACCTAAGCTAACGATCCCTGGAGCACCCAAAAATCTTGTGGGGTTTGTTCATCAAGTGGGACACTAGCAGAAAGGTTGCTGTGTAAAAGTGGGAATGGGAAGGGTACCGAACCTGGGGGCATATGAGGGTGGTAGCTTAAAGTGGCATCACATGAAGGCCACAGTTTGGCATTGCTATGCAACCCATCCTACTGACTCTAGGGACAAAGAGGGTTCCTCTTGTGAGTGTTGATTAACTGGTCCTCTCAGACGTACTCTGTTAGTGGATGTGAGTGTCTGTGTTCATCTGATTCTAGTGTGAAAAGAACCCGTTTCTGGGGAACATAGTTCCTACAGGAGAACTCCATTGGAGGAAATTGGTAGAAAGGAGAAGGAAAGAAGAAGGAAAGAGTTATCTCTCACAAACATTTTGTTAGAGGAAGCACAGCAGCAACTTGCTTCCTGGCAGATGCAAATAAGGCAGCCAAGGCAGCAGCTGACCCTCATAAGTGTGAGGCAGAGATCAGTAAATTGCATGCCCAACTTAGTGCCCATAATCGGGTGGTAGTGACTGTAAGGTTAAGAGAGAATTGTGATTGTGAGCCCCCTGCAAAAATAGAAATATTCCCTGATGCTGAACCCCAATTGGCCACACGTGCATAATGTTGCCCTTGTTTCCAAAAGGGAGGTTAAACACATTGGCTACGTCTACACTGGCCCCTTTTCCGAAAGGGGCATGTTAATTTTCAACTTCAGAATAGGGAAATCCGCGGGGGATTTAAATATCCCCCGCGGGATTTAAATAAAGATGTCCGCCGCTTTTTTCCAGCTTGGGGAAAAGCCGGAAAAAAGCGTCTAGACTGGCCCGATCCTCCAGAATAAAGCCCTATTCTGGAGGATTCTCTTATTCCTACTTTGAAGCAGACTGGAGATATCTGGTGGGGGATGCAAATAATCAAAAACACTGGATAGTCTTTAGCCATATATATGGGGGGATCTGATTTAGCCTGTGTATGAGGAAGGATATAGAGGAAAACA